TGTGTTGTTTTTTTTGAATTTATTGTAACTATCTGTTTGTTGGGAAGCGTTAGTTGTTTGTTTCGATGGGACTTTATCGACCAGAGAAGAGACATTTCACTAACGGACCAAAAAAAGGATTACAGATTCTCATGAAACAACATTGGCACAGTGAAAGAAATGAATTATGACTAACCAAACAAATTTACAAACAAGGACAAATAGTATTTTGAAATTACTATTACACCCAAATAGTTTTCTTTATTCTCACTCAAGCCCCCTTCCCTTATTCTAGAACCCTACTCCGGCGCCGCCGACTCCGACCGTAGCGGGTGGATGCGGCTCGAGCTTCCGATTTTTCCAGAAACAAGCTTCCGGCGCAAGCTTCGAAGCTGACTTCCTCGGCTCCGATTTGCAACGTGGCAGCACTGGTGGCTCGTACGCCTTATTAGCTCCGGTCACCTTATGCTCCCCAACCGCCGCAGCCGCCGTAATTATCGGCGGAGCTGCTGGGTATGAGCAAGATGACCGTGGCGGCTGTAATAGCGAATGGTGAACAGGTGGTTTATCGATTGATCGCCGACGAGAAGACGCGTTGGAATCAACGGTGGTGACGATTCGCTTCTTTGGTTGTTGATGATGAGGATCTCCGGTAGCTTCTGGTATCTTTTTCGCCGGAGGTCTTCCCGGTAAACATCTGACGAAATCTGTACTGCAAACCCAAGTCTCCTTGGATACTTCCATTGATAGCTTTGGTTCACACATCATTAGCAATAGACAATCCGGTAACACCTTATACGGCGTTGCCGTCGTCTTCTCCGGTTGACTTCCTCCTCTCATTACTACTTCCGGACTCGGGTCGGGTTCTCTGTTTCCTTGTTCGGATCTTTCAACGTTTGGTGTTACAGAGGCAGCTTCTTCTTCCTCTGCCTTAGCTACCGCTGCTAATTCTTCCATCTTAGCCATACGCTCCTCTTCTTCTTCTATGGCGTTTCTGATATCTTCTTCGATACTTTTCATAAACGTTGCTTCGATTTCATCCTCATACGAATCTTCCTCTTGGATTTTCGAA